TAAATTATTCATAACATTTATAATTTAAATTTTGTTATTAAATAATCTAATATTTATTTAACATTATATTTATAAGGGTATGTGATATTTAATAGACACGATTAAAGATTAAAGATAAGATTTACATATTTGAATAATACCTTAGTAAATAAAAACTAGTTTATGGTATGCTTTAATGATTTTTGTGGACTTCTGTGAATGTATTTGAATGTTAAATTTTCACGAGGACTAATTTAATATCTAGTCTTTAGCTACAATTTTTTTCAATCGTTCCTATTAATTTCCAAGGGAAGAAGAATGGATTTCTCTGAAATTTGTCATTTTCGTCATCATACTTAGGGAATAATGACGAATGAATTGGGTTATATGACGAAAACGATTGTAAGACTTTGCAATCAAAACTATAATATAAAAATTTTATCTTTATGAAAAAATAGATATTGAGTAATAATTTTAGAATATTTAAGAAAAAAATTTCCCTAGTAATATTATAATATGTAAAGATTTGATATCGAAAAATAGCATAAAGACAAGCTAAATATATACTTCTAAGAATAAATAAAATTAACTTGTGTGCACGTGAGTTAGCATTAATGTGTAACAAAGTGTATCGTAAGAGGCTGAATTTATGCTTGTAAAGATGTGTTGATGTGTGTGATTTATTTTGACAAATACTAAATTTGTCATTTTCTCCCTCGCGTTATTTTTTTCCAAACCAACATTTTTCAGTAACAAAATATGTATTATAAATAGTTAAATAAATCAGAAAATATTTCTAAGTTAACATAAGTCTGTAAATAAATGCTTTCAATAACATTCGAACTAGCCAGCAAACTTAAATATTTTTTGGCATTAAAATACGATAAACTGCACAATTTCTAACTATATTGGTACTGTTGCATAATACATTTAATAATATATGTAGCGCAAGACTCTAGTTACACTATAAAGTTTATATTTTATCTAAAGAAATTGAAGATGAACCAATAAGCTAGCATTAGGTTACTAATTAACCTCGAGTTTTGTCAAAAGATGAAAAAAGAAGAAAACGTGTTTATTTTCAGAACACTTGCAAACATTACTTTGTAACTGGACGATTTATGGAGTAATTGATCTTACAACTATTTTGATTATTAAGTAAAGAATCCTAGACATATTGAGTTAAGAATAATGACCTTTAATAACTTGAATAGGTATTGAAAAATAGAGTGAAGTTATAGTTAAAAACATTTTATAGTTACAATTTATAAAATAGGTGTAATAGAATCAATTTTTAATGAAGTTAAAAGTATACCATTTTTATTAGTTTTAACAAAAATAATGGAAATAGAAGTTAAACTTGACATTACATTAATAATTAAATAAAATGTATTTTTTTCAATATGTGTATAATGACTTTAAAAATATGAAAAATATACTTGAGAATCGTTATTTTACAAACGATTCCTTAATTATCTATCTATTCAGTTTCCTATCGAAGCTAAAACATAACTGACAAAAATTATTATACATGCCCCTCTGCCCCTCAAAAAACAAAATACTTACAAGTAGGTTTTTGGTTCGTAATATAGTATCACTAATTTTGTTAAAAATATATTAATTATTTAGTTTTGGAAATAACCAAATAAATACAGTGATGTTATTTGACCACTTATTTAATTCAAAAATTAATATAAAAAATGTTAAGAGTGTCTCATACAAATCGTCATTTTTTAAGTAAAAAATCAGAGTTTCTTTATAAAATAGACCGCAAATTTTTGGCACAAGGTAGAAAATATTATATTCTATATGATAAAAATCAATTTTGTGACTTACAAGTATTAGAGTCAAAGCATCAAAAATAAATTTTTTGGATTATATAACGTTAGTAAAACATTGACAAATTTAGTTCCAAATAATTTTACTACATTAACAATGTAACGATGTGTTTGAAAATTACTGTTTCGTTTCTTAATATATAGAAGAAGTCTAAAGAATATCCTTAATAAAAATCTGGCTGGTCGAAAACAATTTGTGTAACATTATTTTTTAAGATATTAGCAATTGAACATTTAGAAAATATTAGGAGCGGAGTATAGTTCAGTAACGGTACATTTACCATAATGCACAGATAAGAATTCTTCTACGTTACTTATAACTATAAACCAAACCTCTTGCCTATAACTAAAAATTATGTTAACTCAAAAACTAGTATTACAAAATTAAATACAGCCAACGAAAATTTTATTTAGTCTACTCTCCATCTAATGGTAAAAAAAAAAAGGTTATCATTTAACTTTTGAAAGTTATTAATAACATAAAATGTACCGTTACAAAAAACTTAATATTCAGAATAATTCATACAAATAAATCAAACTTTAATGTGTACATTTTTATGAAAAAATAATTATGAAAAATTAAAGAGTAATATTCTTAATAAATCACACCGTATAAGATAATTTGGCAATGTATAATTAGAGATTAATCAGTTCCTAACATGTCAGACAATACCTAGGAAATTTCTTTTATATCAACAACCATACATAAATTAACCAGAAAATGTAACTAAAAACAATACACGTCAAAGCATAAGTTAAATAACACAACCTCAGATCCTTTCTCAATTGATTTTTTACGGCTGCTAGGTTTTCTATGTCACCATATTCGTATGTAAGTTAATACCTTTTCAAAAAATTTATTATTCTCCGCTGTCGTCAACATTACCTTTTTTTTTCATATACATTCACGTTGAAATAGTTAACAAAGAAACGAATTATAAAAGAATAGTATAATTACGCGACACCAAACTAAACGGATGAGCGATGTAATTTGCATTATAACGAAATTTTTCCAAAGAATAAATAGTTAGTACAAACAAAAGTTTCATTACTTATAATTACAATAAATGCTTAGACAATCAAAAAAATAATTAATTCTTTTTCAAATATAACTCACTTTAAATAAAATACTTTTAAAAATACAAAAGATAAATATTACTAATTCGACAAATACAAAATATTTTTATTTATTTGATTTAATGAAATAAAATTAAAATAATAAACATTTATTTTGAATAAAGGTTAATTTTTTTTTTTATTGTTCATAGCATAAGTTTAATAAAAGTATATTACAAGTGTTTTCGTAATATATATGTTTTTTTTCATTAATTCGATAAAAATATTTGATTTTAACTCTGTAACTGAATAAACCAAAAAATATATGTTTTTATTAAATGTACACTTTAAATAAGATAAGACATCTTAGTAGTATATTACTAAAATTATGTATAACGTTGTAAATGAGTTATTCAACGGTGAACCTGAGAGAAGGATAACGATCTAAATTCACTTTTTACGAAAATGAGGTTTTTATACCATCTTGTTCTAAATTTTACGGCGTAATTTTTTTTATTGTTATTTAAATTTTAAATCCAATATTTCAGCAGATATAAACCAAAAATTAAATGATTTATGTCCTTAGTTTTCAAATAATTTTTAGCTAAACAAATCTAAAATTTGGATTAAAAAGTGTTCTATAGACAGATAACTGTGCTGGTCAAAACAGGAACTTCACAACTGCAATACTTCACTTTTGGTTTTTACAAATATACAGAAGATTAACTATTGATTTTTACATACATATTGATGCGTTTAGTGTACAATTAGTATTAAAAAAATTATAATGAAAGCATTTTTTTTCTATTATTAATAGCTTTACCAAATGATTAGGAACAATTTAATAAAACAAATTTTAATTCAGATTAATAATTGCTGCGCAACGGAATCGAATCTTGTTACCTACGCATCAATTCATACGTTAATGACTGAGTCACAGAATTCATTGCAAATGACACTTTATATTGGTAATAAACAATATATTTCACTGCGTGACACAATTTCATTCAAGTATAAATATTTTATAAATAATTTACATTTTAATTTTTTTCAATCAAAACATCATACTCTGACAAAATCTATTACAATACCAGTAAAAATTATTTTTATAGCGAATAAAAAATTTTTCTAAAAAAATAAAGAATTCTAATAATTTTCAACAGACAAAACTTTTCATAGTAGGATTACATTATATTGAAAATTTCATATTGCTAACCAATAAAACAAAAAGAAAATTGTAAAATCATTACTTCATTCTACATTAATGGGAAGTTTAATGCGAAGCAACCGCTTTTTATGTAAATCTAAATAAAACTTTTGTTCTGGTGAAATATCAAATGTAATTCGTAACGTAAGAATTATTCACAGCAACGCAGCTGTGTTACAGTGTACAGTAACATTAAAACGTCCACAAAAGAATCTGTTATTCTTAAATGATACAAACATTTCTTCATAATGATTGTTCAGCGAGTTTCACGTCTTGTTTGATAGTAAATTTTTCACTTTTACACTTGGTTATTATTCGACAGACAATTTATATTTTTAAACGTCTAGTAACACTAGCATTGCAAAAGAGCGAGCGCCTTTTTAAACTAAATGTTTTATCGCAAAACAACTATTACACATTAAATTACTTTGCTTGTTTGTATTTGTCCCTTTACAAAATCATAATATGATTTTGTGTATAGAATTTTCAGTTTATTTATACTGAAATCTCATTTGAATGTACTAATGTTATTTTACTGTGCCTTACACAAATTTAAGTTATTAATAATAAACAATTTCAACCATAATGATTTTGTCTACAATTAGTACTTTCGCAAATAATAGTTTTTAAGCATTAGATTTAGTGAGTAAACTGAGAAAATCTAAATAGTGAATCTCTCCCAAGCCATGACAAAAAATTAGAAGAGTGCAATAAAAGAACGCAATGAAAAAACAAACAAGTTGTTGTCGAGCTAAGTGCTCAATTTGAGCACAGACTAGAACTATTATGAAAAATAATCTAGAGACATTTAAGTGTGACACTTGACACAGCTATTAAGCTTAGTTATTTATTCATAAAACTAAAAATTACTTTATGAACACTAATTTAAGACGGTAATTAATATTTTACAATTATTACAGGATGTTCCCACGCATGTAATGATGTTGACGTTTTTACTAATGGCCATCGACCGTTATAAACATCTGAAACACCCTAATCGAATGCGATTGCCTCCATTGACTTGTGCTATCGCTTGTTGGCTTATAGCATTTTGCATAGTACTCCCCTATCCTGTCTATACAGCTTACTTGGACTTGGGAGTGAGTATATCTTGTATATCGACGTATATTCTGATAATAATTCTATGGTTAATATTAGAATAACTCAGCTTAGTATTTTACCTAATTAATTATCGTTTCATTAGGTTTACATAAAAGTGCAATTCGAAGGAGTGGGAATATGTGCAGTAAACATGGCTGATGATATGCAAGACTATCTTCGCAGCTTGTTTGTTCTAACGTAAGTTATTGTATCTTAATTTTATAATGTTACAGTAAATAAAAATTATACGTTTGCTGTACGTAATACAAGGTGTGTTCAGGAAATAACGGGAATTTTTAAATTTTGCGGGTTGTGATAGTAATTTTTTTTTTACACGATCGGCATTATTATGGGCCGCCTTGAAACTGCCGTTTGCCATTACTTCAGGATGAGGTTTTGATAATCTGATTATCAAAAAAAATTTTGTCGTTATGATGGTATGGATAAAATTTTCAGCTGGATTCATTTTTTACTTTGTCATTAGTACACGTTACGGTTAGACGTGTTTTTATGAGTTCGGCGATATTCGTTTGTTAAAAAAAAAGGAATTATAGGATTTTGATCAAATTTTGCGTAAAAAATGAAATTGAGTGTAACAAAGTATGTGAAATGTTAACAAAGGCCAATGGTGAGCCTGTCATGAGTAAAACTAGAGTTTAAGAGTGGTATAAGCGTTTCCAAGATGACCATGAAAACGTTGGAGATGACGAACGCTCCAGCACATCAATAACCGACGAAAACGTGGAAAAAGTGAAAGAAACGGTTATGAACGATTGCTAAATCACAATTAGAGAATTCGCTGAATATATTGGAATATCGATTGGGGCTTATGCCATGACATTTTTTCAAATGTTTTGGGTATCAAACGCGTAGCAACAAAATTTTTTCCAAAATTGTTGAATTTTGAAGAAAAACAGCGGCGAATGGAAGTTGCTTAGGAGTCACTTAATAAAGTCAACGACGATGCAGAATTACTGAACGTGTTATATGAGGTGACGAAATATGAGTTTATGGATACGACATCGAAACTAAGGCTCAATCGTCCCAGTGGAGGCATTCTTGATCGCCAAGACCGAAAAAGGCTCGTCAAATGCCATCGAACATGAAGATTATGCTCACTGCGTTCTTCTATTGTAACGGCATAGTGCATCATGAAGTCTTGCCACGAGGTCAAACGGTCAATAAAGAGTACTACCTACAAATTCAACGCCGTTTGTGTAAAGCAATCTACAAAAAACGCCCGGATTTGTGGCAAAACAATTCATAGCTTTTGCACTACGATAATGCACCTGCTCATATTTCATTGCTTGTTCGTGAATAATTGGTCAAAAACAATACTGTAACGATGCCTCAGCCTCCATATTCACCATATATGGCTCATCGTCACTTTTTTCTATTTCCAAAAATAAAGAGAACCTTAAAGGTCCGTCGTTTTACAAACATAGATGACATTAAAAGCGCATCGCTGAATGATCTGAAGACTATTTCAAAGATCGAGTTTGAGAAGTGTTTCAAAGATTGGAAGAAGCGTTGGCACAAGGCATAATATCCAATAAAGACATTTTTGTAGACGGCAAAATAGTGTAGACGAATATATATAAATATTTTTTTCATAAAACGAAAATTCTCGTTATTTTCTGAACACGCCTCGTATATCAAACAAAATATTATGAAACATCATTTAACTATTAATTTTGATAGGTTCTCTATTCTCTAAAATAAAAATAATTTCGAGTTAAAAAATGTCAATTTTTTTATATAAATTATATAATTATTGATTTATTATTCTATAAACTTTGCTGTGCGATGTGAAGAGTTTCAATGTTATATTTATTTTATTTTGTCTTACCTTCCTCGGCATGTCTGTATTTTACATTACTATTTTACTCATACGACATTTTTTTAAAGAATTGTTTTAAGTTATTTTTAGTGGAAGAATTAACTTACGACTTGAAAATTAATCACAGTAGATACTTTACTATAATACTAATAATGAATATTTCCCCATACTCTCGAACTTTTCGTTATTCTACTCATTCACAAAGATTGGAGAGTTAATATTTTTAAATATATCTGTTAAGATTATATTTATGTTAAGAACTGAATAAGAATTAAAAGATTTTCGCTGGTAAAATGTTTAGACTTACCCACTCAATGGCATTTAATTTTATAAAAACGTTACGCTCACACTCTTAATCGAAATTTTAATTGAAAATATTTTAAGAAAAGTAATATTTAAATAAAGACATTGTTATGCAGGCCAGCCGCGGAAAGGTGTAATAAATAATAAAAAACACGGATGTTTGAGTTACTGTTATAGAATTTAATAATTTTATAGCACTTAACTTAAAAACAAAATCGAACAATGTAAAAATACAAAAATTACTTGTATTAGAATAATATGGGATGAGAAATAAGTCATGGAATTCAGATCCAGATTTAAGAATTAGAATTAAGCTGTAGGATACTATGTTTTTACAAGAACATGACTAAACCACGACTTTATAGGTTAACGTGGGAGTCTTTCCTGGTCGTCGGACCATATCACTTGTCAACACATTCCTGTTGTCCGATTACAGTCGGACGACCAAGTTCTATTTATACTTCTAGATTATATGAAATACTATTCAGGGGTTCTTAACAATATTTTTCATGTAAATAAAAAAATATAATATTTTCTCAATTGAATTAACACTATATATATTTTTATGACTTCAAAAAATAGCACATTCATTACTTATATTTGTATTAATTTTTTTAACCGTAAATGAGACTATCAAACTTAAGTTTTTTACAACTCGCGTTCTACAATTTTTTTTTTTAATAATGAATAATTAAAAATAATTTCTACAATATTATACTTTGATACTGTATAAAAAGTCATCGTTTTCAGCTTACAAAGTATACATCAATAGTACAAATCATAAGACAAACAATTATATTATCTACATATAGTTAAAATTCTTTAAACAATTAAGATTCATCGCTATTTTCTCTCAGAAAAAAATTAGTTAGTTGTTGATTCATCTAAAAAAGTATGTTAAAAAATATGGAGACGGATGTGTATGTAATTTACTTTAAAAGTGATACTATTTCTATTTAATTTTTGTTATTTTTAAAATATATAAAACTAAAATTACACTAAGTATCACATCAGACAACTACGTTAGACATTATAATAAGTACATTACAATAAGTAAGAATTGATTATATGTAATTTCACATGAGTAACAATTTACCGTATATTTAGTAAGTTATAAAAGATGAAAAGGAAACATAAACAATATATACCATCTAGTTAAACAAAGCCACGTATACAGATGTTGCATATATAAGTCACAGTATCTTAAGCTTGCCGAGTAAGCAAATCAAAATTAACGTAAGATTATTGAATATTACAGGTTTATCACGAAATAAAAATCAAAACTGAACATGATACACAAACAGCAGTTTTTTTTATTATAACTTAATAAAAATAAATAAAAACAACTTAAAAAATAAAAAAGATAAAATAAAATTTATTTAGTGTATTACTATGAAAATATTATTGTTTTACAAATAAACTAATGAGGGTATCATTGTTAATAAATCATTTCGTGTAGATAAGCTCTTTAGGAATTATAATAAATTAGGTTTTAATGATACCTACCTGTATAAATTATTACCATATTTACCAATCTTTAACATCTATAGGAAAAGAAATAAAATTTAAAATTTATGTATTTTTTTTTTTTATATAATTTCACTTTTTATTTATAATTATAACTTTGATATTTAGTTATTTATTAAGTTATTCTTAACTACTCAAAAATAATTGTTAGCTTATCTATTTTTCAAACATGATTTATAGTTATGTTTCATTAAAAATCTACGTTATATAAAAATTCATCTTCATTTATATAGTTGAGCATACGTAACTTCAAAACTAATTGTTCAATTGCAATGTTTTATCCCTATTTAAAAAAAGGTTGAAAAGTATTCATTAAATCATGTAATATATTTGATATGCATATTAGCTTAATTAATTCCCATTAAAAGGAAAAATAATTTTTATATCATTCTATACAAAATTATCCCTCAAAATTATTAAATTCAATGGGAATTTACCTGAATCAGAAAATCTACCCGTCTCGTGACATTTTGTATTAACAAGAATTCATCGTAAAAGAATAACGAAACAAATCGAATTTTAGTGAATTTATCTTTTTCAATGTGATAATTCTTCTACGTAAAATATACAGTTAGATTATTATAAAAAATATTTTTACTTAATTTTAAAAAAATGTGCATCGATCATCATGTTCACAAATAATTTACTTTGAAATCTTTCAAGAAATTATTAAAAAAAATTCCAACCAGGAGAAAAAAACAAACACTAAAAATCAAATAAACTTTAAAAAAAAAACAAAGTAGTTGGAAGAATTTAGATTAGTAAAAATAAGTGGTATTAGAATGTAGGACTTATTTTATAATTTTAATGTGATAAAATTTATAATTATGACTAATTGTTTTTATGAAAAAGTGCTTAAATAGTTATATTGCTAAGTTAATTGATAAATTCGGTAAATATTCTATAATATTTATTCAAATTCACAATTTACATATAATAGTTATAATTTTTATTATTTATTTTATATGCCCTTTCTAGGCATGCCGCTGCTGAGTCGAACTGTCTGAATAATAGTTTAAAATTATGAAATGAAAAAACATTCATCAATTTATCACGTTTTTATATTTTTGATTATTGCACACACACACACACACACACACACACATATATATATGTATTTATAAAAATAAAATTATGGCTGAGAAAAATTATTTTATTGCTTTTTAGCAGTATTGCGATGAATCCTGCTGTCGAAAAGTACTATGATAAAAACTATAAATTCCAATAGGTTATAAGATGGTAACTTAAAAAATAGGATGGTAAATTATTCTATCAGTGATTATAAAGAGTTAAAACAAAATTCAGCGAAAAGGTTATTCTATCAAAAGTTATAAGAGATCTCAGTAGGATCTATTTTATTAGGTATATTCAATAAAATAATAACCGTTACTAATATTAATTTTAAAATAATTTATTATCAAAAATTCAACAAGTCTAGTTTATTGGTTATCCTTTTTTTCTGATTTTTTTATTTTTAAATTTGTTATTTTTATATTTTATTTTTTCAAAACTGTTTGAATATATTAGT